GTTGTTCCCCCCCCCCACCCAAACTGGACAGACTTAATTTGGTGACCTTAACCGCCTAGCCTCCACCGCCAATGGAAAACCTTTCTCATCTCTAGTTCTTTCTCTCAATCCAGATCATGTGAAATGCCTCCTGGTTACACCACTCACGGTATAGCACTCAATGTTCAACTATCAAGGTAAGCCAATCGGAAATGGAAATGGATTAATGAAACCAAAATCTCTTCTCTTCACCGTGTTCAATGTGCGTACACTTGCATATGGGCCAACAAGCTGCCTTAATTAGAACTCTAAAAACTTTCAATTGAGATGTATGCTGTGTCTCCGGAACACGCATACAAGACCTTACTTCAATCATCACACTGCAGTTTTCCGACCGCACCTCATCCCCACGCTTCAGTGGCCCCATTGGCTAACACTTGTGGTTTGCCGGCGTCGGGTTTGCTTCGCGTCACGGCTGAGCGCCTGTTCCTTGTTTTCGCACCGTACCTGTCGATGGTTCAGTCAGGGCTAACAGCAGTCGAATAAAACGTCGTTATTCATTCGTCGCGTCCATGTGTGCACCGACTGGGTGCAGTGTTTAAAAGGAAGGATAGTTTATACCATGGCCTATCTCAACTGATCCAAAAGATTCGCTCAACGAACATCGATGTCGATTTCAACGCTCAAATCGGATCTTTGGTCGTATCAGAAAAGCTCCATGGCGGCCAACGGACAATTCCAGCCAACCGAACAAATAACAGAAAACACTCACTTCAAGGTTTCACGGACCACTGATTGGTTCTATCAAGAATCAACTTCTCTCATCAGAATGGACATCACCTTACATGAAAATTTCCTAATTCTTCCCTGCGATACACTCAAATCTGACATATTGTCATCAGCTACCCCTGATGGGATCCATTCAAGACTACCGCTCCAACTGGTTAGCAGCCCTGAATGCGGGCTTTGTTTTCTTGCGAACCAGATTCTCCTTACGGCTGCTAAACAACCGCGACGGGCAAATGATGGAAATCTTTTTGATGACGGACAAACAGCACTGGACAGCTGTTCCGTCCTGTTTGGGAATCGTCAGCAATGCGTACTTTTTATGTCCCTGTCAGGAGTCGAACCGCGTTCCTTCGAGTCGGGACTTCAAACCTTTACCTCTGAGCTACACGGCCGACGGCGATCACCTTGTGCCAATGACCCAACCAAATGGAATGGGCTAAGCCAAACATCCGCCCAAGTTGATTGTGCCATTCGCAATAGGTGATCCTGTCGACCCTGTAGCTCAAAGGCAAGGGTTTGAAGCCCCGACCCGACGGTTCGCGGTTTGAGTTCTCACAAGGACACATGGGGTATGCACTGCTAATGAGTCCCAAACAGGACGGAACAGCTGTCCAGTGCTCTTTGTCGGTCATCACAAAGATTTCAATCGCATTTAAATACCATCTTTGCTGTTTATTTTTCTTTAACACAAAGCAAAGATGTGACTAAATTGGACTTGATACAACGGTTACCGTTCCACTGCTTATATAAAGAAACAAACCTGTTTGTCAGTAATTATGTCCGATCAAACGAATGTGCTTTACTCGGAGAGTGGTCCTCAGAAAAAAAAATATAGTGGATAACAGCGGTAAATTTTCTCATTTTCTTGTTTGTTTTTTTCTTCTGGCTGTTTGATTGCTCCGTCACACAATATCGTCCAAATCGTACATTTTAGACTTGAATGATTTCATTCTCACATTATTTTGTTATTCTTGTCCCAAGGAACTAGTTTTTTTAAAATTATGATTTAGTCTCTACTGATGGACTTGTGTTTGATACCTAGAGCATTGATTCGTTCTCCTACCTGATACGGGGGGAAATCATATCCAGAGAGGTGTTGCTAAAACGCATAGTTATTTTCACGTTCTGCACACACTCGCGTTATTCGGACTTCAGTCGTTTAGAGTGCATTATTATACATTCGAAGTGGCAGTCTACCGCTATCTTGTCATGCCTAACAGTTTAGCTAATAATTGTGAGCAGGAAGTGCAATTCTAGCTTCACGATAGAGAACATTTTGATGCAATTTGGGCGTTGCACTACTCCATCAGATACAGGAATATGAACTGAGCCAAATACTCGTTCCTGATTGGATTTTTCAAGTACATGTTCGTTTTTGGGGTTTGATGATTTGGAGGGGGGGGGGCTGAGAAACACGTTTTGATTTTAATCTGTACTTTTATTTAGACCAAATCTGATAACGTGAACTCTGATCAGGGCACATGCGTTCAGTCGTAAATCGCGTGACTTCTCAATATGTTTACTGTACTATTTGTACAGTTAGAACCGCCGTAACGTTATTCCGTTCCAGATCGTCCATAACCTTGCTCTCATGATGAACGTGATAGTTATTTTGCCCCTACCTTTCTATGCATCGTCGTTTATCACGGTTTTCCATCTTTTTTCAAAGAGAAATTAATGTATTTGTGCATGCATTCCAGTTTCCTTCTAACCGACGCTTATCAAAGTGTTTCGTACGTGTCATACCACTACCCTTCATATCTCATTTTGGGTATGGGAAGTTCCCATTTCAGTCACTCCCTGAATTAGCCAATAACAGATGTAGGGTTGTCCGAAGGACATCATGACTTCAGTTCCGATTGGTTTGTATCTGTTGTTGTTTTAAAAACAATAAAACTGTGGACTGGGAATAGAGTGGTACTCAATTATGCCTGAAAAGTAATAGACTCTAGTGAATCGGTTAATCGTCTTGTTTTTCCCCTCACCGCGCTCTCTCTCTGGCAAACCCATGAATTATGGCACTTAACCACACGTTCATCGATACCCCATATGACTTGCTTATCGACTGTGCTCACGTACGTGATGGTTATCCTAATGCCAGTCTAGCCTTGTGTGTTATCTCTAGTATCCTGGGTGCACTTTGTGCCTACTTTTTGCCCCTCGTGTGCACTTGCGGCCTGTTCGGGAACATATTGACCACAGTCCTATTCCTTCGGGCACTTCGTCGACCCACACGTCAAATGATATATCTAGCTTGTTTAGCTTCCGCGGATGCGACCACTCAATTCCTATTCGGTTGGTTATGGTTGTTCCCAGCCAAAGGATTGCCTTTTGCCACAAACGGACGCGTCTATTTCTTTCTATGGGAGCAATCGACTGCCCTGTGCCAATTTCATCGATTCGCCTACTCGTTCACATCCACTCTGAGCGCAAATATTTTGCTCTTGGCTGCCCTGGATCGCTATTTCTCAATCAATTGGCCATTGAAATTTGTCAGCGTACCACTGATCTATGCATGGTACGCGATCGGTGTGGTTGTACTCCTCAGTGCCCTAATGATGCTTCCGTTCGCAGTGCTAACGCAATGGAAAATCACCTCGGGCAAATTGACCTGTTGGATTGATTCGGATCAATATTTTCTCCAAGCTTATCATGTCCTATTTTCAAACGCTTGTCTAGTCCAACCTATGTGCACCGGACTGTTGAACATACTATTCCTCATTCGTATTCGTCGAATGCTTCGTCCCGGCTCTTCTTCGGATGCGCAGGATAGTATCGAACAGCGGGAATACTCCGCCACAATCACATTGCTAATCCTATCTGCGGTCACATTGTCCACTGCCTTCCCGCAAAGTATTGCCTATTTGGTCGCGTTCTTTCTCTATCTGGCCAGTCCGCATCACAGTCTCTCACGAGTCCCCGTCCGATTGGCTTTCAATATTGCGGATATCGCATGGAATGTGATATTCATTCAAACCACATGCAATATTGTCATCTATTTTTCACGAATCAAACGATTTCGTCGTATTATAATCAATTCACTCTTGTGTCGGAAAACCGGATTGAACAGACCTTCTAAAAATCTAACCTCGGCAAACTATTGTACCGATACGCGTCAAGATTAAATCGTCCAAGTTCCTTTCGTGTCCTGAATTCCTGAAAAAAGAACCCAGATGATTTCTATCAAAATCTTATTGTTGTCATTGTTGTTGTCGACGACCGCAATCGTTGCCACTGTTTTTGTTGGATTTATTCTGTATGGGCCTTAAGTACAACTTGCACTGTACTTTATCGTTTTTCTATCCGCTAAATCAACATTAATTGTGTCTGTGTGAGGAGAGAAAAGAGTAGAGCGAGAGAAGGTTACCACTAACCAGCCACGTGATATGTAAAGTTGTGCGACAGCAGTCCTCACACGAAGGCCGTTTCGTGTTTCTCACTCAACTTACCTGTTCCTCCATCTGGTGCACATGATTTCTTTCTGACTTATCATATTGATCTGATTTAGCCAGCGCTATTTTATTGTAACCTCTTCGTCTTCCATTTATCGACTATTTCCCTTCACCACGAACCGTGGAGTAGTCATATATCCGCTCTAACCAGAGTGTCCCTATTATTTCACCACGGTTTATTTCAACACTTTCGAGAAAATTCTTCCCCTGTTTTTCTACAATTCCCTTTAATGCTGGTGTCTTCTGGTTTCGTTACACGAAAGAGGAACTTTGTGAAACTTAAAATCATAAAATTAGATATCGAAAGCTGGATTGCCTCTGTAATTTTGACACCCATTGTGCACGGTGCGTGAAAGTAACTCCATTTTATGAAACCAATGGTCTCCAATATTTGAAAAGTTCCTGGATAAGACGTGATGAGAAAAAAATTGGCAAACAAACTCGCTATCATTGTATTTTAATTATGCCATTAGAATACAATATGTGTGACCAGTTACGTTTACGAAAAAGGCTAAAGTAATTAAGGTGTTCAACAGTTTGCATCATATTTAGTCCCTTAATATCATTTTCTCGGTTGTGTCACGACGAGTCACTTGTGGACTTGAGTGCTCGCACCAATTGTTTTTAAGCACACAACGGAACGGGTTTGTGAAGACGAATACTGACCGCCTGTGATGTGGCTAAAATACGAAACCGTGCGTGCCTCAATCGTCGCGTTTTTACTCTATGCATGGGGTCGGAACCCTTTGGTCGCGTTTACAGTGTGATTTGTATCAACAAGGTGCCACTTGCTGCTGCGGAACAAGTGAAAGCTTAGCTTCAGAAAGAAGTAGCGGAGTCGGACGTTAGATCTTTCAACCGCAGGGACACTAACAGGTTAGATGTGAATTCCTAACTATGTGATAGGTTCCTATATACCACTATATTGTCCAACAAACAGGGCGATCATGCTAAATAGCATCATGTAATCGTGTCCACGGTTTTCACACACTCTCAAACAATCAAAAGACTATGTTTTTATTGGGCCCCGTCCCTGGCTGCATTTTTCTTAGCTTCATGATAAATTATGACAAAAAATGTTGTTCTTTCTGTTCGTCATATCTCTCAACTACCGGTTAAAAAGCAGCCCGACCGTTCGTTTTTAATCCTCGTGAAAAAAAACGCATGAAAGAAAGCATCCTTTTGTTAACGTTGACGAACAGGGCTACCGACATGGTAGTTGTCTGTGTCCTCTCGTCTGCGGGATGTACCTCGAGTTAATTAACCTATCCTTATGTTTTAATCGCTTCGGAAAAAATACACTCTAAATTTTGAATTCACGGGATTCACCTAGCTTATTGTCTGAGGATATATTTGTGGGATTGGAAGGTAAAAACTTCCAAACGAACAGTAATTGTAAAACCGCTGATTTCGTCTACTGGTTAAATTGGAGAAAGGGTTTTCGGCTACCTGTAAACTAACCCATATCATTTTAAAATTGGTCCTCTAATATGCCGTTATATTTAAAAGTTGATCTAATCTCATTTCAAGGTATCGGCACGGATAATGTATTTTCCATGTCTGTTACTCTTCGACCTGAGATATAATTGGTCGAATTTCTCTCGTGGAGCTTTTTTGTTGCACTTTTTGTTCAATTAGACGTGTCAAGTTTGATTGCTGAATTTTTCACAAGACCCTCGGATTTTTGTCTCCTTCCCCCATAGCCGGAATCTGAACCGGACTCCACTGATAATCCCGGACTGTTTTCGCTTCTTGACGTTGCGGCTGGTGACAACGACGAGACTTTTCTATTGAATAAACTGGACGAATTATACCAGGCACAGCGATCCGCATATAAAAATCGAGGTGAATTCTCGTCCCCCTCTCCTTATTTCCCCACATGGCATGAGAACAGATGAGAATGATTTCACACTCCCCGCATGTGTTGTACTTTTGGATCGTACTTAAAGTTGTGCAATTTGTCACATTTCAGTGAAGTTGTTTTTCGCATGCTTGACTTGCATCTCACAGCCTCAGTCACAATACGTTTTCAACTTCCAGTGAAATCGTGGTCCCATCAAGTGAATCGAACCAATCGCATTCACTCTACTGGAAATCCTCACAACGTGAGTGCTGCTTCAGTCGTCGCACGTCACCAATTGGACCGGGTCTATCAAAACCCGTCCAGTCCGAATAAATTGATTTCTCCACAAACAAACAAAAGTACTTTTTGACTGAGTTACCGAACGAGGTTGAAATTGTCGGTGGGGTGGGACCGGACAGTTCATTCCTCATCCGGGGACGTTGTGTCCTTGACTGTTGACCGAGTGAGCTTCAGACGATAATGAACGAATCCGATCGACCCGGCAAAGGAACAAATCACGTTAAGATGGGTCGATAAATCAGTCACTATGCTGAGGTTTGAATGAATCACTGCATTCAATCTATATAAACCCTCAATAGCCTAGTGAGTAAACTTCATTGAAGCAGAGGTTCCCTCCAATTACATCAATTTCAGAAAACACGAGATAGTGAAGAAGCTCTTTTTCGATAACTATCTTCTGGTTAATACAGTTATATAAATGGGTAATAGGCATATGAAATTTGATTGGTGTATAAAGTCAGAATATTTTTCCTTTACAAACAAAATGAAATTAAAGGTATAACCCAGTGTGTTTGGCCACCAGAAAATCCATCAGCAGGGCTATCGTGGAACATCTCGCTGACGTGCGCCATCCGGAGGCAATTCGGAATGGAAAACGTTTATGCGATGATGACATGCCAACACTTGACTGGTCCAGGATACAGGTACTGTTGTTTCCAACCTAATCTGTTGGAGAATCAGAAGGGATTTAATTGTTTTGGGTTGCGGGTGAGAGGGTCAGGAAGATGTGAAACGATGATGCAATCGCACTGTGTCTTAAAGTGATTCGCCTCTTTACCCGGTCGATCGAGATCAGTTATCACCTCGTTCGTTCCCTCTAAAGCTCAATTGATCAACTTTCCCGTGGAGAGGGGGGGGGGACAGTTTAACCTCTCGCTCACTAAAATGTACTTTTGTCTGTCAATAGAGTTCGTTCCAACTGGACTGGACTTTGATCGGTGAAGTGTATCGGCTGAAGCGACAGTCACGTTGTGGAGGTTTCCAGTAGAATGTGATTGGTTCCGTTCGCTTGAAGTTGCAGCGGTTTCATGTGAGGTTTAATCACCTATTTCGGGTGTCGCTTCAGCTTCCCTAATAGGGTTAACTGTATGAACTAAGGACTGTGCGTGAAGCAGGGTAGTCAGTCCTATTCAGTTTTTAATTACTATAATGCGCTCAACGGGTTGACCAGTAACCTTTTTCAGTACCCAACCCATGGGTTCGTGGTTCGAATCGCATCATGACCACGATGTGAACGCTGCTGATGAATCTAAACAACCCTGATACAACTTTCTGAGCAATGCACTAGTAAGAATGGTCATTATTCAGGCAACCGATGCAGATGCAAAAGTAGATGATCGTATGAGTAACGTTTCTCGTCTGATCAATATTGAATCACGCGTTTGTGATTGAAATCAAATAAAGCGATATTTATATACAATTGATTGAAGATTCCCATAGGTGCATTTGAGAAAAAACACGAAATAGCGAACAAACTCGTTTTCGATAACTTCCTCTGTATAATCGTTTATCCAGTGGATAACAAAGAAAAAACACCAGTATCTAAGTACTGTTTTAAATGACGATATTCTAACGATACTAAATCGGAACTTCATATTCAGCATTTGCCCTCGACACGCACTGCTTGTAAGAATAGCTTAAGATTACCTTACAGTTAAATCTTTTCCATGTGATGCAACAGTTTTTCCAATTCACTTTGGAATGACCAACACATTGATGTGTTCTTTTTCTCTGTTACAGATCTGCGGACGATCCGCCGCCTCCGAAAATGCGGCTTATTCACACTGAATCACAGTTTGTCTTCCGTCCCCGTGGAATACCAGTTAAGCAACCGGTGGTTCGTGCAATGTCGCCTGTCCCCGTCCAGTCACAATGCATTCGATCTGCTCCGTCGAGTGAGCATGTGAGTTGCATTGTACATACAGTCCCACAGTGCCCCTGAGTGGCGCTAATCGGTGTTCGTGGCAGATTTTTATGTTCACCGTGTCATGTGAACTTCACATGGAATCAATCAAGATACCTGTCTTCATTTGA